GCAATTTAAAACAACTCTGAGATGCCAACTCACACACTTTGGCAAAGTTGACAAAAAATAAAAATGACAAATACTGGAGAAGCTATAGGAAAAGTAGGTACATTAATTCCCTGCTGGTGGAACTGTGCACTCCTCCAGTCAATCTGGAAAGTATTTGGAATGATGCCAGAACAACTATTAAACTGTGCATACCTTTTTGACCCGACTATACCTAGGTCTATGCCCCAAGAGAACAGAGAAAGGTGGGAAAGACCCATATGTACAAAAATATTTATAGCAGCTCTTTTCATGGTGGCCAAAAATTGGGAACTGAGTGGGTGCCCATCGGTTGATGAACAAGTTGTGTTATATGATTGTGTTTGAATGCTATTGTGCTCTAAGAATTGATGAAGGTGATGGCTTCAGAGAGGCCTGGGAAGACTTGTACGAACTGATGCAAAGTGAAGGGAGCAGAACTAAGAGAAAAATGTATACGATAACAACAATATCGTAAAGCCAAACAACTTTGAAAGACATAGGAACTCTGATCAACATGATCACCAACTGCATTTCCCGAGAACTCACGATGAAACATGCTGCCCACCTCTTCACAGTGAGGTGGCATACCCAGAATGCATGCTGAGACGGTTTATTTTGGACATGGCAAATGCAGGGATTTGTTTCTCTTGACTATCCATGTTTGTAACAGGTTCTATTTTTAGTGTTTTCTCGGGGCAGGGGAGCATGAGAAGAAAAAGTAGATCTTTGTAATTAAAAGAAATAGAATAGAAGGGAAGGCGGTTAATGGTTGGAGCAATTCAGGACTAGTTTTTGGCTTGGTGTTATCTATGAAAAAAATGGGGGAGGGGAATAGAGGATAGTGTAGTGTAGAACTAGTTCACCAAGGAGTTGAGATAGGGAAGGGATGAGAATGTAGCCTGGGAGACAGCTGAAGAATGGAGGGCTCAAACGTGTTGGGGAGAATGAAGAACAGGGCTGGGGGTCATAAGGCAGCAGGGAAAACAGAATGAAAAAAGATGATGATCAGATAATGGGATTTCAGAGTTTATGAGCATGGGAACGGAGCAGTCGTCAGTGATGTCACGTTGAAAGGCACCATCATCTCTGTAAGCAGCTGAGGTGGGCTGGAGGACTAGTTGATGAAGATTAAGTAAGCTGAGGCACTGAGAGGGTAAAACATTAAGGGAGCATCCATCCATATGCTGAAGGGACTTAGAGTTAAGGCACAGAACTCATTGAGAAAAGGGGAGGAATGACCTGGAGTGTCAGGAGATAATGGGCACCTGGGTCTGGGTTAAGTGATAAACTTGAACAACACGAACCTTAAAGAGGAGGTTGTAGAGTGATGGTGGTGGGGGAAGAGTCTGAAGTAGCAGTGGGGAGCGCAGAATAGTCCAGCTCTCCCACTGTGACGAGTGAGTTGAGGGGATGAAACAAAGTGCCACCAGTCCTGGAAAGGGTGCTGAGGGAAGTGCTGTCACTGGGAGAACCCTCCAGCAGAAGGAATGAGAAGGGAAAGGCGTAACGTGAAAGCACATCTGTTACTTATGGAGCAGGCACTGCAGAGCGCACCATGGAAGGGGCATGTGGGTCTGGAGTGACTTGTGGGGACAGGGGAGGAGGGAGAAGAGAAAGGCTCAGGTGGATGGGGTAGGAGCATACAAGCATGGGAGACTGGGCTTCAATCTCAGCAGCTGGAGGGAGGAGTCCAGAATCACTGGCATGGGGTTGGGAAGACAATGAGTCTAGACAGTATGTCAATGGTTGGGCTTACGTTATAGAAATGTTCTCCAAACTTTTGTGCTCATATAAAAACATCATAAAAGGTTTTGAGGATATACCCCCACTATATGTATATTTACTTAATTATAATTTTGACAAAGTAAATCTACTAATAATGACATACGTTATACAATGTACGCAAAAGAGACATTTAAAATGATGAAATGAGGCAGAAATATTTGATCTTAGAGTCACTAGGCAGTCATTGGAGTTTGAGTAGGATGGTGAGGTGGCCAGACCTTTACTTCACAGAAATCATTTTGGCAGCTTGGGGGAGGATGGATCAGATTGGGGAGAGACTTAAGGCATGGAGATTCCACGTAGGAGGGCACTGGGATCATCGGGGCAAGGGGCCCTGAACTAGGGTTGTGTCTGTGAGTTGAGAAAGGGGGACAGAGGAGAAGGATGTGGAGATTGAAAGGACAGGATTTGGAAACTAACCGGATATGTGGGGTGGGGGAAGGGCAAGAATTGAGGATGACACTGAGGTTGTGGACTCGAGTAATAGAATGATGGTACCCCAAAAAGTTAAAGAGAAGTTTGAAGAGCCCCAAGTTTGGGGAGAAACATAATGCACTGGCATCTGTGATGTCGACTGCATGCCGGAAAAATGAAGAAGGGGATGGGGAATCTTCCTTTGTCCTTTGCCCCAGTAGCTGAAGGGGTACTTGTGGGGCTTACAAGGTGACCTTGTGATAAGGATGTGGGAATGCTGGAGAGAGGATGAAAAAGTGTTACCTACACAGCTGCTGTGGGTGCCTGAGTCTCAGCTAATCCTGAGGGGACAATCCCCAGAGGGGGTCAGGGAGGCCAGCTGGGTGTCGTATCGGGGATGATGGACTATAACTAGGTCGGGTGGTACAGTTGTGTTGGAGAAAAGCTCACGGTTATTGGGGAGGGGAGGAGGAGATCCATTTCCCCTCTACGTACTCCCCCCCCCACTGATCCCACACTCCTTGGGAGCAAGGCCATTGACCTTTGGAGGCATGGGGCACTGGTCTTGGAGACAACGGTTTTACAGGATGCTCTTGCAGTTAGCTGTGTGTGCGAATTCTGACCGTGCTGTCCTTGAAATGTTCTAAAGGCTACTCTGAAGGCCCTGCGAGTCCTCCAGCACTCAGGAGCTGTCCAGCTGCCATCCTTAGGTTGGCCTAAGGGTGGCCCACCTCCCTTTCTGAGCTTGATCCCTCTAGCCTAGGTACATAACCAGCTTCTCTCACCATTTTAGTGTCAAAGACCATGGTGTTAGGCATGGACATTCAGTACCACTGGGGAATAACAGTGTCACCAAGATGCATTTTTGTGGCAGGGAGTGGCTTGGGGTGGTCAGAGTGGAGGCAGCTCAGCCAGCCCTCTGCCTTCGGTTCAGTCTGGCCGGGCTCAGTCCAAGCCTGGAGCACTCTGGACAGGCAGCTGGGGTGCCTCATCTACTTCCTTATCCCAGTGGCATGATTGGCTGGATCCTTCTGGGCCTTGCTGAGGACAGCTCAGGACAGTGTCCCCTGAGACATCAGTCATGGTTTGTTTACACCAACGGAGGTGACCTGCGCTGGATTTTTCGTGGGATGACATGTTTTCACGCCAGGTGGAAGTGCCAAGGGGGAGTCGCAGCCCTGAGTCCTCATTCTGCCAGGATGCTGGACCTCAGTTTGTTCATCTGTAAAATGGAGGGTTTGGACCAGATGGTCCTTAGCACTGCATTTGTCTTTGACAAATCAATCAAGTGTTTTTTTCTTTTTCCAATGAACAGTTCAGAACTTTGGGCAGGTCAGGTGCTGGAGTGGAGTGAGGTGCATTGGTGGGCCTGGCTTGGGGAGGCACTCCTGGCTGCTGTGGAGCCGCGATGAGCAGATCAGCGCCAGGGCAAGGAGCCCCAGTTGTCCTCGGAGCCTTCTTGCCTGCTGCAGAGGCCAGGTGTTCTTTCAGGAACTTCCCCGGTTCTCTCCACCCCTCCTCCAAGACATGCTGCCTGAAGTGTCACAGACCGTAGAGGCCTGTCAGGACCACACTGTCACTCCACCGCCTGAGCCCACTGAGGATCAGCGCTGGGCAAGCAGACTCGGGCGAGGGCTCCGGGAGTGAGCACGGCGGAAGGGCCCTTGTCAGTTTCCCACGAGCTCCAGCCTGCTACTGTATCCCAAGAGTGAAAACTGTTCTGGGGCGGGGGAAGAAGAGGAAAAGAGAAGGAGCTTGACCCCTGCCGAGTCTCCCGTGGGAGCCGCCCTTGAACGTGACGGGCCCACCTGCCCTGAGCCTCCAGCCAGCCCGGGACCCCCAAGGCCCTCTTCTTCCCCCACCCAGAGAGAGGACGAGGAGAGGGCAGCAGGCGGGCAGAACTGGGGCAACAGGGCCCGAGCCCTGAGGCACCTCTGTCAGAAGGAAACCGAAAGATAGAGAGGGGGAGGGAGAAGGAGAGAGACAGAGACGGAGGAAGAGAGACAGCTGGGGGGGATGGAAGCGCTGGATCTGGCGACGATGAGAAGTTTGGAGGAGGAAAGGGGGGTTAGGCAGAAGCCTCGGGAGAAGAAGGGCCAGGGAAAGATTCGGAGAGAGAACGAAGAAGCCCAGGCAGGCTCCCCGCGGCTCGGGGGCTCCCCTGCTTGGCCCCCGCAGCCCGGCCAGCTCCCTTGGCCTTGCTGTGGGCTCGCCGGCGGGTTTCCCGCCGCCAGGTGAGGTCTGGCCGCCGCGGTTCGCTTCCTCCGATCCTCCGCGCGTCTCCCTCCGGGCGCCCCCCGCCCCCCTCCCGCCGCTCGCTCCGCGCTGCGCTCCGGCGGTGATTGCTCGGGTCTGACTCAGCCAAAGCGGCGGACGCTCCCAGAGCCGCCCCCTCTCCCTCCCTCCCCCAGGTCTGGCCGGCCCCCCTTCCCCCTCCCCCTCTCTCCCTCCCGTCTCCCGGGCGCCCAGGCGAGAGCAGCCGATGGGCAGAGCGGGGGGTTTTCGGGAACAATAAGAGCGGGGGGAGGACGGCGAGCCCCGGAGTTTCGCCCCCCCCCCCCCGCCCCGCGCGGGCCGCGCCCCGCCCCCGCCCCCGCCCCCAGCCAGGCCCGGCCCGGCCCGGCCCCCGCGCCTCCTGCAGCTGCTCGGGCGGGCGGGCCCCTGAGCGGAGCCGGAGCCGGAGCCGGAGCGGGAGCCGCGGCCGCCGGGGGGCCCCCTCCCTCGGTCCGTCCGATCGCCCGTCGGTCCCGCCTCGGGTCCGTCCCCCTCCGGCCTCGGCAGCCCCCGCCGCCGCGGCTCGGACCCCGGCCATGTACGCCTTTGTGCGCTTCCTGGAGGACAACGTGTGCTACGCGCTGCCCGTGTCCTGCGTGCGCGACTTCAGCCCCCGCTCGCGCCTCGACTTTGACAACCAGAAGGTCTACGCTGTCTACCGGAGCCCCGAGCCCCCCGAGGCGGCGGCGCCCCCCGCGCCCGCGCCCGCCGGGGCCTCCTGGGGCGCGCTGCTGCCGCACAAGGCCCAGATCCTGGCGCTGGCAGGTGAGTGAGGCCCGGGGGGTGGGGGGCGGGGGGCGAGGGGCGCGGATCGGGGCGGCCCCTGCCGGAGCCTAGGCCGAAGGCCGGGGGGCGGGGGGCCTCCCGCACCTGGGCGGGGAGGCTGCGGGGAGACGGGCCGTGGGCCGCTTCTCACCAGCCGCGCCCCCTCGGTCTTCTTGCCAGCCTCATTTTCTGAGGTTTAATTCTGAAAGGCCAGACCAGTTAAAATTGAGATCGTTCCCCTTTGTCATCCCTGCCCCCCTCTGCCCCTTTTCCCTTTCTCTCTCTCCTGTCTCTTGGGTTTCACTTGTTGGAAAGGAGTTTTCAAGAGCTGAAGGTGGGGAGAGGCAGGAGAAGGTGGGGGGGCGGGGCAGCTGTCCCCTACCTGTCCCCCTCCCCCAACACCCACACCCACACACGCTCGTACACACACTCGCACTGAAGGCTGTTGGGACCCGGTGACTTTTGGTCCAGCCCTCTTCTAGGAGCTGAAGCCGCAGGGAGGGATGGATGAGTGACTGCTAATAGGGAGCCTGGGGAGCTTCAGGCTCCCGCTCCGTTCTTCATCGGTCCCCTTTAGAGCTGTGTAACAGTTCCCTCCCCCACCTCCTCACCCCCCAGTATTTGGGCAGGCTCCTGTCTGTAGCTCCCAAGAGCCTCATGTCACACATCAGTCCTCCTGTCAAGTGTGCAGGCCAGGAAGGAGCTGGATCCCCTGTCTCAGATGGAGAACTGATCCCTGGAGGGTTTCCTGGAGGCCACCTCGGATGCGGGGGCTCTTTCTGTAGCAATAAGCTCACATTTAACGAGTCTTGTGAGGTAGGGGGATCTACATTGGACAGATAGGGAAACTGAGGATTAGGAGTCCTGGCATCACTGTGAGACGTATGTGGTCTCTCCAATTTAATCGAGTTTGGCAAGCTCTCTGCTCATTTTACAGAGAAGGGAACTGAGATCCAGCAAAGGGAAGGGACCTGTGCAAGGTCACTTAGCTAGTAAGTGACAGTCTGGACTTTTTAACTGAGTGCCTCCAGCTCCAAATCCAGCACCCTTTCAGGTCTCCCAACTCCCAGCCCACTATGTTCCTTGTACTGTACCACCCTGCCTTCTGCTGTCTCCACCCTACCCCCCAAATTCATAATCAAAGAGGAGGAAGAGACAGACAGGTGGTGCTTCAGAGCCGTGGAGGTATCTGGGACCAAGTCCAGGGAGCCTAGGGGTGAGGAGGCCGGGTGTCTGAGGGGAACAGGGATCATTTGGAATCAGTTTCACAAAACTGGGAAGGATGGAGAGAGGGCAAGTAGGCATCTGTCCTGATCCATACCTTAGCAAAGATTCTCCCTGTGGAATCCCCAGCAAGTGATCATTTAGCTCTGGGTTGAATACTGTCAGTGATGGTGAACTCACCACCCCCAAAACAGCAACCTAACTGAGCAGTTTTAGCTGCTAGGAATTTGTTTCCTTACATCAAGCCTAAAAAATCCTCCTTATAAATCTCTGCTTCCTCTCCCACCCTACTCCTGCCCAACAGCATCCAAGTTGCTTTTTATCCTGTCCTCTGGGGTCCACTTCACAACCCTTCATATATTTGAAGATGTCTTCTAGCAGCCCTCAGCCCTCTTCTCCCAGCTAAAAAGTCCTAGTTCTGTGTCCTGATCCTCCTATGCCCTGGTCTTGATGTGCCCTTCCTATGCCAGCAATCCTCTTTTGGATCTCCCCCCCACCCTCACCCCAGTCTGTGAACAGCCAGCCCTCCTAAAATGTACTGCTGTCCCATCAGGGTCTGCCCAGGCAGTTGGCTGTGAAATGGAGTCCCTGCTTCCTTACTTGACTCAGGAATTTTAGGGCTTGGATCTGTTAGGGGCCTTGGCAGTCATCTGGATTAACTCATTTTACAAGTCAGGCAACTGAGGCCCAGAGAAGGGAAGGGACCTGCCCCAGATGACCAGCCAGTAAGCCCCTTTGGTCAGGTAGAGGCGGGAGAAGGCATGGGTGGTGATTTAAAAAAAAAGCTGAGCAGTCAGTCCATGGGGAAGGAGGAATGAGTCTTGGGGTCAAGACAGTACAAGAAAGTGGGAAGAGATTGAGAATTAAGGACATCCCTGACTGCATGTGCAGGGTCCGGTGATCAGAGCTGAGGGCACCAACACCCCAGGGTGCAGGGGGAGGCGAGGGAGAGACCAGTTTTGGGGAGCTGAGTCTACCAAGAGGCACCCATGTCTCTCCCTCCGTTTGACTTGTTGAAAAAAATTTTAAAGAGTGGAATGGGGAAGATGGGGAGGCAAAAGGCAAGAGAAAGAGGTTTCTGGGGCTGGGGGAGGGGCATTCTCCTATTTGCCTCCCTCCCCCAACAGAACACATACAGAGATGGTTGGGTCCCAAGGGCTTTTGGTCCAGACCTCTTCTGGAACCAAAACCTGTTGGAGAGACATGCTAGGCCGTGTGGGGAGTGAGGACTGGAAGGAACATTGGAAGTCATGTGCCCTCACCAGATCCTAGCCCAGGAGCCCCAATAAAGGGTTCCGGTTGGATCTGTCCCCAAGTGGCATGTCATGAGCCTCCCTCACTGCTGTAGGAAGTAGTGAGTTCCCCATCCCTGGAGGTATCCAACCAGAGCCTGGATGGCCACTTTAGGGGATTTTCTGCCTGTGTGAGTTGGCCAGAGGCCCCTGAGGTCCCTGTCATCTCAGAGATGGGCTGATTTCTCCCAAGGCCTGTGCTTCTACTCTTTCCTCCTGGGGGGATCTGGGGCTCTACTTAAAGAGCCAGGGAGTGCCCTGCCCCCTCCCCGGGCCTCCCTGGCTGAGACACAAATACTTCTTAAGGATTCCCAGTAACCAGTGCTCCAGGGTCCTCGGTGGCTCAGCGTGTGATCGGGGAGGTGTCTTGGAGGCTCAGCGGAGCCGAGGGGTCTCTGGTCCCATGCCAGTCAGTCAGTAAACATTTAAGCGCCTCCTTTGTGCCAGGCATTGTGCTAAGTGCAGCGCACTCTTCTGTTCACACCCTGCTTCTTAGCACGCTTTCAGATCTGACACAGAATGAATGATCTCATGGTGGGTACAGCCCCATCTTACAAATGGAGAAACCACCTCTTTCCCTACATGGCATCGATGGAGCCCTGAGCACACTGAACTGGGACCATTCTTGTTTCTTGGCCTTATCATTCCCATTCTATAGATAAAGAAACTGAGGTTCACAAAGGGAGGCAGGGCAGAGGGAACGAGCATTTGTTAAGCGCCTACTATGTGCCACACACTGTGCTAAGTGCTCTCCATATATTGTCTCATTTGATCCCCAACAACCCTGGGAGTCAGGGGCTATTATCTCCATTTTATGGTTGAAGAAACTGAGACAGACAGGAGGGAAATAACTTGCCCAGGGTAACATGACAAGTGATTCTCTGAGACCAGTTTTGAACTCTGGTCTTCTGAACTCCAGGCCCAGTACCCCCTAACTGTCTGTGCGGTGTCGGAAGATGGTGCTCATCATATGCGTACAGATGTGGAACTGACCATCTGGTCCAGCCTTCTTATTGAACAGTTTAGGAAACTGAGGCCCAAGTCCCGTAGCTAGGAAGCAGTGGCCCTGTCATCCAAAGCCAGGTCTTCTCACTGGGAGCTGAGGGTTCTTTTGGCAACACCAGGTACATTTACCTGCCTGGCATCCCTGAGCTGAAGGCCCCGGGCCACTGACCAAGTACCAGAGGAGCGCAAGGGGCTTCTGTACTACGCTGACCCCTTGGCAGGTGTTGAGTGGGCTGTGGGCTGCAGGCCAGGATGGGCAGATAGAAAAGACAGCTGGGTGCACGGCCGACCTCGAGAGGAGGGAGCTCTGGCCTTGAGGCTGGTTTCTGGGAGGGCCAGCCTGGCCACTGGTCACCCTGCTGTCATGCAGGGGCCATGGAACACACTCAGACTGAAAGCTGGGGAAGGGGAAAGAAAGATCTTGGTGACTTCCTTTTTTTTCCCCCCAAGTCTTCAGCAGAAGAGATCAGCTGTTTCCCAAGAGCAGAAACCAAGTCAGTTGGCCCTGTAGAATTGTCTGACTCCATTCTGCAGACAGGGAGGCTGAGGCCCTCTAGTCTGTTCCATACCTGACCAAAAGTCCCCTTTTCTGCGTCATTCCCCTCAAGAGGCCCCTCCCAGGAGGGGGAGACGGGCCATCCCCGAGTGGACAAAATCCTGACTCTGGTCTGGCTCTGGGCCATCTGTCCACCCCAGGCTCTGCTCCTGCTCTGCCCTTTGGGGCCCAGCTTAAGAAGCCTAAGCCCTCTGACCACTTGAAGGCAGCTAGCTGGTCACTGTCTTCCCCCCCAAGCTAAACTCCCTTCATCATTGTTCTGGACCTCCTGGGGGCACCGTTCAGTCCCCACCCATCTGGTGGCCTCCTCTGGACCGGTTCCAGCTTGTCCTCACCCTCCCTAAAATGTGGTGCCTGAGGCAGCCTCTGGATTTGTAACCTTAGCTGCCTAGCCCTAGAAGGAAAAAAAGCCATCCCAGCGGGTGATTCACTGTCGTTTGCCCTGGCAAGTCAGCACTGGCTCCTCCTGCCATTAATGCCATCTACAATGCCAGCCATGACACGCTGTTGCAAACAGCAGCAGGTTAGCAGGATCCGAGCCTAGCAAAGGTCATTGTACAGATGAGGAAACTGAGGCTTAGGGAGGGAAAAGGGCTCACAGTTGTCAGAGCCAGGACTCTAGATTTAGAGTTGGCTGTGACCTTCCAGGCCACCCCTCAGTTTAAAGATGATCATCTGAGGCCTGAGGGGTTGGACCCCAGTCTTCTGCATTTCCTCTGTTTTCCTCAAAGCATTTCTCTAAGAAAGGCTTTGGCATTACAAAGAACTCTCCTCCAGGCAGCCTAGTAAGAGGGCCAGAGTTGAGGGGAAACTGAGGCCCAGAGAAGGGAAATCGAGGGATTGAGGTCATGCCACAAGTCTCTGTAGTTCTTCTCATTCCTGTGTCTTCATTTTTGTCCCATAGTGCTCCCTGGCCTGCCCAT